AGATCTTTTTAAAGTATTCAGTATATTTTAAAGCATTTTTGTCAGCATTTTTGTCATAGCTTAAAAATTTTGAGGGCATAGCCAGAAGTAAACCGCCTTTCAAGACCCCGGTGTTCAGTAATTCGTTGTCACTTCGTCCCCCACAGAAAAGTTTTAAATTTATTTTCACGGACTAAAAAGTGGTCCTATTTTCGCGTTTTCAGCGGAATTTGGCGAGAAGCGCGAAAATAAGTTCACTTTTTTTTCGGATGAATAAATCATCCCTTATTTTATCGTGTATTTTTTATTTCTAAGTTTCCGTTTCAGTGCAAAAATTTTTTCGTGAAAAAACAATGGATAGATGTTTTACATCCACACATTCTGCATTTATATCACGCCCGAATGATGTACATTTGAAATAAAAGATTTCGTTAAGAACTGCTTTTTTTTAAAATACGTTTTTTGACGTATCTGCGCCACCTGCGTACCAAAGGTGTACCATAATCCGTCCATTTTTGCTACGTTTTTTGTCTAAAGTCTCCAATTGATAACGCGCAACAGGAAATGAAATATAATGATGGCGTTGTAGACATATGAGGCTATTCTGTTTTTATGCATTTTATGTTGCAACAGCTGCACAAAACGTGTATTGTCAAGATTTTGCCCTTATATGTGTGTTTGTATGCATATGTGTGTGTATGTGCGTGGGTGTGTACATGTGTGTGTACACGTGTGGGTATGTATATGCGTGTGTGTTCAGAGTACATTTTATCCGGAATGTTCAACATGTGAACTAGGAAAACTAACATGAGATTTCAGGAGTATGTTCCCTGCCGACGAGCGATCCAGCAATTTGGTTGAATAAATTCCACTTACGTCTCACGGGCACATGAAAGTTTTGGCGAGAGATTTTTCAACTCAGGAACTAGAAAAGCTGAGGAGTTGAAATTTTAGGAGGATGTTCCATGCCCATGTTTAATTAAATGGGCTCAGTTTTAGTTTCCACATACGTCTAAATCTCACGTGCGGACATGTGAAATTTTAGTGAGTGAGTCACCAGAAGTTGAAAAGCTAGGAAGCTGAAATTTTCGAACTTTTTTTACTGTTATGTGATCGTACAAATTTAAATTCAACTCTTGCATATGTCTACATTTTACGTATAGGCATATGAAATTTTGGTGGAAAGTTTCGTAACTTTGGGAAGGGACAAAATTTCGATTTCTTCACATAAACTGTAAAACAGCGAGCAAATATATGTTGGACAGAACTGCGCAA